ACTGACTAAATGTAATAGTATTTTTTCTGTGTGAGATCTTTTTCAGAAAAAATCTGATGCTTCGCGCAACCTCTCCTAAAAATATACTTTGAAGAGAGACCGGCCCATTGGTCTCGCGGCCTGAGTGCAGGTACTGCGAATCTGGAGGTCCCGAGTTCGAATCCGCTCACCACCCTGGAGTGTGGTAAGGATTTTTTCAGGGCATCGGTCCCTTTCAACCAAGTTTATTGGTTGATCGGCGAACTTAATCTCGGGCCTCCAGTAATTAATTCCCGTGTATTTCCCGAATTAATTCCCCCTCCCACTAGTCAATATTGTTTAGGTTCTAACTTTCGTAGATTCATAGGGTATTGATTTGGATGCGCAAGCGCGTTTCTCCAGTTAATCATTATTATTAACGTCGAATCGATGTCCTTTAAATTCATATTTTCTTTTATTAATGCGTTTTTAAAATTTTTCCACTTTTTCCTCTCCATTAGTGGAATATTAATAAATATTAATAAATATTAAACTTAACTTTGTTTAATTTTTATATTTGGTAAAAAATACTATTTTATAGTTTTGTTGTACTTTTATCCGATAGTAAGTTCTCAAAAAAGGTAAAATCCCAAATAATAAATATTATATTATACATATGTAACGATACATATGTCAATACATTACCAATATTAAAGTCGCAATTGATAACTGGGCCCATTATTTTTGCAATGCATAGAGTAATTCCACTCTTGGATTTATATGTATGTAGTACTTCATCTTCGCACTTCATCGAGCTTACATACTCGAAATTTGTTGTCTTTTTTACCGAATTTTGTGTATATGACATTTTGATAAAAACAAACTGTGTAAAACTGTTAATTAAAACAAGGTCAAAATGTAGATCAGAATACAGAACGTTGGCAACTTGTTAAACAATTCGTACTCTCTACGCAAACAAGTCCGTCGCAGGTGGCATCTCTCTGCTACAGTGATGACTGCTACAGCTATGTCGATACTGCACTTACATACGACTATCACATAGAAATTAAAGTTCTTTTTGTCGTTATTTTCATTTGTCAAAATGTGATTAACAAATAGCAGACGTCATGAATAACAATGATCGCTCCTACGTTATCTTCGATAGAAACCAGTCTGATAATTTCTTTTCAACATCGGAATCAAAGACGATTTGTCGCATATAATTCATTATGTGTGTGTATATGTAGGTACATGCAATCAAAAATAATGATAAATTTTTCTATTTACCTCTTTGTTTATGGTGTGTGTATGATATATTTTTACGAAGAAATCTGCCGCAAATATACACTTTGCCGTAGAACGTATATAAGTGAGATATATTTGTTAATTTTTTTTTCTTTATTTTCTTATATAGTTTTTTATTTATTTTGTACACATTTAAACTTTTATGTATACTGTTATTTACATTGTTATTTATATTGTTATTTATATTGTTTTTCTTTATGTATGAAAGCGCAGTGTTTGTTGCCA